CTCACAGGAACTGGTTTTGTCGAACTGAACTTTGAATAACCACACATTCTCGCACTCGCTTGTGCAACACGACACACACTCTCCATCACACCACGTCGCTGCTCTCAGCAGGGCTTAGCCCGGGTGAAAAACGCAGTAATTCCCTGAGCTTCCTTAGGAAGTTGTTTGTGGAAGTATCTTTCTGTGTTTCATGTTTCTGAGGCTGGACGAGCCAGCTGGTCTGGGCCGAGCAAAACCTAATGAACTCTCAGCACGATCCAGTGAGCCATCGTTTGAGCCTGTCCTTCTCATCAGGTGGACCAACCTTTGAAATCTTGCGCAACAGCTCAGCCATAAAATGTCTTACGAGGCACGCTCACATCCATTTTTGCCGTTTTTGTTTGGATTCAGTCTGCTTCTGCTGAAGGTCTTAGCTGTTGTACATGTTTGTTGGTTTTTAGCTAAAACTTGTTCTAATGTTACAGAAAAGTAAGCACAAAGCAACAGGAGTGCTCTATTGTTGTTAGATTTCGTCAAAGTGGCTGGTGTGTGACTTATTTGGTCTCTTCTGCACATCCATCCTTCCCTCTCTTCGCCTGAGTGGTCTCCGCTCCATTCATCATCCCGCTCTGCCTGCAGCATAGTTTCTGTTCGTCGGGTTCCTTCTTATTCATCCCTGCTTCTCTGAACTCGTCCTTAGTGCTGGCTTGTTTTGTCTCATGTACGATGATGCTGTGTTTGTGTGCTAATTGATTTCACTTGCAGTCTGTTTGCTGGACAAAGGAGGAAGACAAATATGTCCCTAATGTAATTACATGTTCTAGGGTACTCAGAAAGTGATTAGTGCAGCGTTTGCCTATGCCTGCAGCATGTCAGTGAACATTACTTTTGAAAATCAGATTATCTCTGTTCCTTTTAACATTAATGAGTCGGTTTATTTTTAGGTCCAGTTGTTCTCGGTACTTGTGTGAAAAGATAAATGCTCTAAAGCCGAGGTTTTCAATTCTGGGCCTCGAGGGTTGGTATCCAGCATGTTTTAGTGGTTTCTCTGCTCCAACACACTAGATTCAGTGGTTGAATCACCTGTGCAGCAGCTCTGCAGAAGCCTGTTAATCACCTGCTGATTGAAATCGAAGCAGGTTAAAACTAAAACGTGCTGGACCCTCCAGGCCCGGAATGGAATACCCCTGCTCTAAAGTTTAGTGCAGATTTAGTCCTACAGCTCAAGCAGTGTTATTTTTTCATTGCGTGAAGATTCAGACAGTTGTGTTTATATGTAGAATGGAACATTCAGCATTGTGGCATGAAAAACACATTTATGTTTCCATTTTAATTTGAGCTTCTTTCATTTGTAGAGTGCTGCTATGTAGTCTTTTTTTTTCTAGGCTTAGGAAGATCTCTGAGTGACTAAAACAACCTAAAGGGTCTTTTTTGGCAACCATGAAAAATAGGGCTGCACAATATATCGCAAATATATCGTTATCGCGATATCAGCAGGCGCAATATGCATATCATAAAGAACAGATAAATATCGTAATGAATGGTCAGCTCAAGTCTTTGCTAAACATAATGCATTCTGTCAAATGGAAGCATGACGTTTTTTTAACAAGTCAAATGAGATCTTCACCTATTTGGCCAATTGGGTGGGTTTTCATTGGTTAGATGCCCTCCCCCGAGGCGGACGGCACTTAATTTTGATGGTTAGCAAACACCTGAGTTAGCTTTGTTCTGCTCTTTCTGCTCATCCTGCTTTTCCCGGGATCCACTGGTTGCCTTTTCTTGTACATTTTCTTTTTACCTTTCCTTACATCTTTTGCTTTTGTCATTTTAATGATTTTGTAGTCATTTATTATTTATTTGTCTTTGATTATTTTTGTTCCTGAGTTAAGTTTTTATTTATTGCAAGTAATATCGTCATCGCAATATTAATCACTGTTATCACATATCACCCTAATAGCCCTAATAAAAAAACTATTGGTTAGCATTTCAAAATGTAAAGAAACATTTTTGATTTCCTTCCGTTTTAGTTTCCTTTAGCCCATGTGTGTCAGACAAAAGGCCCGCAGAGCATTTTTATGTGGCCCGCGAGAGAAATATCAAAAATATATTGAAACTGACCGGCTGACCGATTTTACCACAGACTACAGCTCCCATGATGCTTTGCGATATTAGCTCGGAGCCGAAGCGCCCCCTCCTTTGTGTTTTGTCCAGCGTCTGCTGCCGGTGTCTGCAGCTCCGCTGTCTCGGACAAACTAAGCACTCCTCTCACTCAGCGCCGAGTTTACTCAGCCCAGGAACTGAGATTTTAACCGCTCAGTAATGTGTTCACGACTGAAAGGGAAAGTTTTCCAACTAACTTCCAGACAAAGCTGATATAACTCCAGCGAGCAGCAACACGCTCAAATCAGCATGACTCTGTGGCTGCTGTAGTTTTTATTTTTCCTCTGGTGAGCATCACAGTCAATCAGTGGAGCAAACTGAGCTTTAAATATGTTGGTTTTAAGCTCTTTTTCTGCTCCAACACATGAAAGTTAACAGGTGAGATGTTGCATTTTCATTTAAGATGAAATGATATTTTTATTTTGTTGTTGGCCCGTGAGAAAAGATTTAACCTACAGTAAACAGGAAGTGGAAAGACTGCAGATAGATGAATAGAATAGAAAATCCCTTTATTGTTCCTCAGTGGGGAAAGCTAGACGTCACAGCAGCAATGACACTTATTACAGGAGAAAAAAAAGGAGATTAAAAAATAAGAAAAATGAATAAACAACAAGAAAACATAAATCCTGAATAGATTTTAAAAATGCTGAATATACCACAAGTAATGAATACCACTGATGCCTTTTATTTAAAACTGACTTGCTCGTGTGTAATTTGGTTATTCCACATTCAGTGTTAATGCAGAAATAAGTTTGTTTCCAAATTAAAAGGCTAAAAATTGCATATATGTTGATAAAGAAAATGTGCAAATTTGCCGTCACTTTTTCAAAAAATATTAAGTTTGGCTCGCAACTTCGTCCCAGATTAGATTTTCATTTCGGCCCCATGTGAATTTGAGTTTGACACCCCTGCTTTAGCCCCTGAAGCACTGGGCTAGCCCGCCATGGACGGTTCATGCATAATGTGAACTGGGCTCTACAATATGGTGTACTATCTAATCTATTCATGTTTCCTGAGAAATCAGTGTGAACTCTATAGGAATTGGCTAATTTATTTCTGGCCCACAGTCACTGTTTAGTGTGTTTTGATGCTTTTTCCTGCCCTACAGTTCTTCCCACATCTTTCTGTTGGATCACTTTCCTCATACATGATATTTATTTAATTACTCAAGCTGTACTCCAGTATTTACTTGCTGCTTTAGCAGGAAACAAACCTTTGCAATGGGAAGCGGCTAGCCTGCTCAGATAGTCCAGCCTGCCCCTTGTCCCCCTGGACAGAGGTGAGGGGTTAGACGTTCCTCTGTAGGAGGACTGACTCGTCCAGTTTAATCACAGCTTTATTAAAATGACATTTGATAGTCCTGTCCTCTTTGTTCTCTCTGCATCAGTTAGAAAGGACGGAACAAGAGGCATTCACAGAGGACTAATTTCTCTAAATGGAGGCTTTTCTGCTTTATATTTCTTCCTCATTACATGAGTCACTGTCCCCCCCCCCCCCCCCCCCCCCCCCACCATTGCTGCCAGTGGTACAGTCCATAAATAGACACCTGGCTGCAGTGGAGGGACCATGCAGCAGAGCATTACACAAAGTAAAAGATGCTTGAGAGGCTGAAAAGATTTCGAACGGAAAATGTTCTCGTCTGGTTAGTTTGACAGCCAGAGCAGCGTGTGGCTGAAACACTAATCATCCTGGTGGAAGTGGGAGAGTTAAATTATGCAATCTGTGGTCCCAATTCTGAGCACGATTTCTTTCCATTACAAGGACTTATTCCTCCCACCGTCTGTCTCAGCCTCCATCACCAGACACACCAAACATGGACTCGTCTTCTGCATCCAACAGCTGATGTAGATTTTCTTTAACTCGCGCAGACACAACACAGGTGCTCAAGGGAAAACTCCAGATCAAATAAGCAGTCAGCTCCTGGATGGATGGCTGTGGGATTCCTGAAGGAAAAATCCTCAACACTTTCATTTGAGGACTTGTCCCAAGAAGTAGATCTGTGCACCCAGAGCGACATCACATGTTTAGTGGGAGATTCCTGGACTCCTCTAATCAACGTTCAGATGGATAGGGGACTAAAGAAGTCCCTATCCCTTGTCGTGCCTTTGTTTGGTGCTACCAGCATCCTGCAGCATGTCTTCTGGAGAAGCTGGAGAACATGGACTTACTGTGCTTGTGCTGTGAGTTGGTTTAGTGGATCACATTAGCTTTTACTCATTAGGGATGTCTTTAAAATCCACCGGGATGAAACTGACACTTGGGAGTCCTCATCTCCTATATGTCTCCTCTGCTTTTGCCCCTTCTGCTGATGAGCAGATGTTCCTGCAGAAGCTTGTTACTGAAATGGTGAACGTGAACATTCAGTGTAGAAGCTGAGCTTCATGCGTCTGAGCTCTGAGGAGAGAGGGGTGGTGGTAACATGCAGACAGTGTGAGAGCAGACGGAGAAAAGGTGTTCCATAATAAAATGATCTCAGGTAGGGAGCAGCTTTTATGTTTATAGACAACCTGTACAGCCTGTTCTACACGTATCGGTGCTTCAGCTGTGTCGGTTATTTCTGCGGTTGCTGTCTGAGAGGCAAGCAGGAAGAAATTCTGCAGCCTGAAGCTTTGCTGTGCTCCATAACCACAGTTTTTGTGTGTGTGTGTGTGTGTGTGTGTGTGTGTGTGTGTGTGTGTGTGTGTGTGTGTGTGTGTGTGTGTGTGTGTGTGTGTGTGTGTGTGTGTGTGTGTGTGTGTGTGTGTGTGTGTGTGTGTGTGTGTGTGTGTGTGTGTGTGTGTGTGTGTGTGTGTGTGTGTGTGTGTGTGTGTGTGTGTGTGTGTGTCCATCCATAAGTTCATATCTTTATTCTGTCTGTTTAGGTAGAAGTGACGCCACTGCCAATGAGGGAACATGTTGGCTATGGACCAAGGAGTGGTGGAGGAATGGCTGTCAGAATTTAAGGTATGGTTGTAGTCCAGGTGAATAAATAATAGAATACTGAAGGAGACATTAGGTTTTTCTGTGCAGACGGACGTTGAGATGTCTGAGTAAAGTTGACCTTCAGATCCAATCAGATCGATGTTCCTGATGTTTTATTTCTCCCACACACCGTCTCCGTGAGCTTTAGGGGGTCTTACGGAGACGTTTCTGGACTGAACTTGTGTTTTCAGACCCTGCCCGACAGCGCTGTCGTCACATATGCTGCCTCTCTCGGAGACAAAGGTTCCCTGATACCTGCTCTCTACAAGGTCATCCGGGAAAACTACAGCGATGTGTGTAAACAGTTTAACTCATTTAAAGACCGTAGCCATTCAGACTAAACGCACACAGAGTTGGATAATTCAGACAGTGCCGGGGTTTATTCTGACTCCATTGCAGCCCTGATTGTGTCTGTACTTTTTCCTGATTTTCTAATTCTGTCCTTCCCAGCTGCTGGAGCCTGTGTGTCACCAGTTGTTTGAGTTTTACCGGAGCGGCGTGCCGCAGCTGCAGCGTTTCACGCTACAGTTCCTGCCAGAGCTCCTGTGGAGCCTCTTGTCCGTCAGCGCTGCCCGAGACCCCCACACTTCTGGCTGCATTGAAGCACTTCTGCTGGGCATTTACAACCTGGTAGGCAGCGATGTGTTTACAGTGGTGTGTTACCCCTAGAGACGGGTCTGTGCTCATGATGACCATAAACCCTTCAGTGATAACCAGTGATTTGTGTAGAAGTTTTAAATGCTTAACATCTCATCAGTTACAGATGGCTTCCTGAACAACCTCCGTCTGGAGAAACGGCATTTACACCCAACACCGGGCTGGTCAGCCTGCTGGAAAATGGCTGCTCCGAACGAGCTGCTAAATCTGTCAGCATCTGATGCTAACGATAGGTTTTTAACTTTTATACTGCCGTCAGGTTTACCTCGCAGGGTTTGGGCAGAAAAGCTAAGAATTTCTTTGAGGTGCTGCATTTTGCTGCTGCTGATTATGCTCCTCGTGAATAAAATAAAATAAACAGAGGTTCCTGTAAATAACAGCGATACATTACGAGTTGTAAGGTTTAAGAGTGGTTTTAAGCCTGTAGCAGTTGCTCCAGGCTGTGCTTGTGCCAAACGCCATCTCATCAGTCCTGAAGGACACAAACTCTGTTTCTGAAAGTAATCTACAACGTAGAAGATGTTATGAGTCTTTTTCAGGAACACTCGTCTTAAAGGACCAAAGCCTTTGACCTCGACCGACAAATCTCTGATCCCGTTCTTTTCTGAGTCATGATTTATTGCTTTCTGCCTCGTTTGTGTTAGATTTTTGTGAGATTGACAGGAAGTGAGCGTTAAAGATAAGGGAACTGAAAACTAATTACTTAGCACCTTTCCAACAGCTGTCATCTCCTCACAGAGCTGCCGGCAGCAGCATTCATTAATAAAATGTGTTGGGCTCCATTTTGGCTCTATCGGCAAAGTGCAGCGCCTCCCAACTTCCTCTATGAATATCAGAATAGGTCAGCTGTCACTCAGCATGGCGGCTGGCTGTTAATAATCCGTCTGACATTAATGTCCTCACCGGGGACACCTGGACCCCAGGGTTTTTGTGCATCAGTGCTCACAGACCTTTCTCCAGGCTGGGTGGGTGAGACGCCGAGGTCCGCTCACAAACACACACATGCAGCACCTGTGTGTGCTTTACGACATCACACACTTTACATGTTTATGCCATCCAACAAACCACCATTTTCCTCTCCTCTCTCTCTCTCTCTCTCTCTCTCTCTCTCTCTCTCTCTCTCTCTCTCTCTCTCTTTCTCTTTCTCTTTCTCTTTCTCTTTCTCTTTCTCTCTCTCTTTCTCTTTCTCTCTCTCTCTCTCTCTCTCTCTCTCTCTCTCTCTCTCTCTCTCTCTCTCTCTCTCTCTCTCTCTCTCTCTCTCTCAGGAAATAGTTGATAAAGATGGGCAAAGCAAAGTCTTGTCTTTCACCGTCCCATCCCTGTCCAAACCCTCGGTCTACCACGAGGTGCGTTCACACACACCGTTCAGCAGAAATCTTAAATTTTTACACCTATTCTTTACTTGGACTTGATTTTCTCCCTTCCAGCCCTCGGCCATCGGCTCCATAGCTCTTACAGAAGGAGCTTTAGCCAATCACGGGCTGAGCAGGGTGGTCTACAGTGGGCCACACCTCCAAAGAGAAACCTTTACTGCACAAAACAGGTAGGAGGGCTCACCTGTTAATGTTGGCACGCGTGAAAACCCCTGAACTTTGGTCATTTTTAATGCAGCTGGCGGCCTTAACAACAAACGTCAGCTGGTTCCTGAAATAGAAATGCACAAAGAGGCTTTTCAAGGCTTATTTATGTAACAAAGCAGATTTTGGAACAGAACTGTGCAACATTTATCCCACAGCTATCCTATTATTATCTTGGTTAGGCTGAGAGACTCGGACAAGTCGTGGTGTGATGTTTTCTTCAGCTCCTGTCACGGATAATTATTTTAGGGATGAAGCGCTTGGATCTGTTTGCCAGCGGCAGCCGTCACTTCTTTTTATTTAAAGCTGTCATTTTACTGCGAGGGTTTCTGAAATTATAGGAACTCAGATAAAGTACTCTGTTGAAGGTCGTTGAGGCCTAAGGCTTATTCTGTTTTAGGCTGGTTGTTGTTAACGTTGATATTTCATCTTTTGTCGATGAGGACTTTAAAGGTGTGGAACACTCGTTTAATCAATGCTAGGGGTGGGATTGATACGTTTTTATCAGTAGCCACATTTACATGGGCACAAGTAATCAGAATGAACGCAGATCAATAATCCTTCGTGTAAACATGTCAGTCGGAATATTCTGATCCGATACGGTCTGATTGGAATGACATGTCATTCCAATTGAGAGAGGTGGTTTTGTCTTATCGTCCTTCCGATTGTCATCCACGTACACATCCATTCAGATTGTTGGAGTAAAATAATGCCCACTGCACATGTGTAAAACTTCAGCGTGACGTCTTTCTGCAGGAGCTGGATGACGGTGTGTGTGTGTGTTATCATTGGTACGTTGTCCTGCTCTCCTGTAGCGTTACGTACCGCTGAGCCTGTAGCTTAGTCATAGGGATCAGTAAAAACAAAAGCGTACGGGTAAAAATGCAACCTATAAAGCTAGACAATAAGAAAATAAAATGTGCGGAGAAGACGACGTATGTTTTCAATTTTTTTTTTCCGGGACAGACAACTCTGCGCACGCTCGACCTATTTAATCTGACTGAATGCTTGGTGCATGTATACTCGCAGCAGGATCAGATCATTTCAGTGAGTGTGCATGTAAACAGAGATTTGGGATTTCTGATCAACCAAGAATTGAATCTGATAGAGGAAATATGATGTAGTGTTAAGGAGTGGCTTCATATGTAACAAAATGACCAATAAGATGTGATAATTCCATATAAATATGAAATATCAATCTGACTGATCTTTCAATGTTTAATCAGAAGATTCTAGTTACTTTACTTATTCAGGGACCATAAACACACTATATTAATTCAGACAGTCACATGTATAGTTATAGTTTATAAAAATGAATTTATTTCTATTTCCCTAAACAAATAATTATACATGACAAAGGTATAGATGATGATGTAATGTAATGAATGAAGTGATTTAATGTGATGTGTGGAATGCTGGAATGGAAGCTAGATGCTTTAGCAGAACCTTTCTTAAGTATCTGAGAGAGTTTGTGGAGTCTGGGTTGTAAAATAATTTGGCTGTATGTCTGTTAGCCTAGAGATTTGTTTATAAAACCATCCGACGCAATCCGCGTTGAATCTACGCACCCTTGTGTGGAGATTCTCGTGCGATCCAGGGGTTCAAGAGGTCGTGACGGACACTGCAGGTGGAGTGAACCTCTCGGTATCAGGAACCTGTAGATTAGCTCTGATAGGACCTGAGATCTCTCCAGGTGACAACAGGAAGCTGGAATGCTTGTTTGTGTCTAAGGCTGTTTGTTGGCTCTTAGAAGAGCCGTTTAGTCTGACATTACCTGCAGCGTTGCAGAGAGGCTTTGACCTGAGGTAAAAAGATAGGATGGTTTCAAAATGCGTGTTCCCGAATTGGCCGGTTTGAGAGTCAGCGAGAAACTGATTTAATTCCTTAAACAATTCTGTTTTATCAAATCACATTGTTGTCAAATTTGGCAAATCAGAATTTGACACGTTTGAAGGCATTATCAAAAATTACCTGAAAAGTCTGTCCTTTCGTCGGATCCTCAGAGAGGTTAATAACGCCGTGTGAATGAGAATGTTTTAAAAACGCTTAAGTGAGGCGAATGTTATCAATAATAATAATCTTATTGTAATGTGTGCGAGTATATTGATGGATTAACTTTTGTTAAATCAAACACGTACTGATCTGGTGTAGATGAGATCTGAAAAGGATCATTGCAGGAACAATATTAATTTTAAAGCCATCATTGGTTAAAGCACAGATTATTCAAACATTTGACTTAAACATCTTGTTCATTCGACACATATGATTATTTCAACTTATAAGTTGTAAAGTCACATAGGAACTTCGAGGGACTTTTATTCCCATGCAGCAGTCTGACTCTTGCATGAGGCCTTGAGCAAAGATGTTGTGGCTTCTTTGCAGTAACAAGAACTGGGGCAGAACTTTGTTTTGGATTTGTGAGGCCAGACAGATGGTGTTTTCATGTCTGCAAATGAAAAGTTAACTTCTGGTCAATTTGTTGGTGAAAGTTTGACCACTGGTCCGTTACAAGGGAAGATGTAAACAATCGGAGGTGTGTAAATGAGTTAAATGACGCTGACATGATGGGAAGCTTTAGTTGACTAGTTACCTGCAGTACTAGCAGGAGAGGACTTTCAAATGCTGCTGCTGTGATGAAGTTCACTATTTCAGAGCAGGTCAAAAACACGACATTCACTTTCAGTTATCACGGGTTTTGTGCACAAAGGCTTTTGCATATTCATAGTTTCTTCACTTTGATGAAGTACCTACTTTTCAATTATTGTTAGTTGCCCTGTTTTCAACCTTTCTCGTCAATTATAACCAAACTTTTACGTGTTTGTGCCGCTTAGGCACTGCTGAGCAAATCCGTAAGCTACGCAAAGTAATTGGCTTAAGCTATGGAACGTGCATGGTGACGTCATTTGCGCTGAGTGGAACTGATAAGGTGTCAAACGATTCCTTGGAATTGAAACGGTGGGAACAGGTTCTCAACAAGAACCGGTTTTCGATTCCCACCTGTAATGAATAGAAATGGTCAATTTTCACCACCGATTTGATGGTAACCCTTCATGCACACCAGAACTGCAAAGTCAAGGTTGCACCAGCTGGAGGATCCAGAAGCAGA